CTGTATTGCCATGTTCCAGAAGCATTCTCTCCTCATGTTTCGCCTACATCTCTTGCAGGCATCCTCAGAGTTTGTGAAGTCTGTCTGTGTGTCTTGGAACAGTTTCTCTCCATAGAGATGTTCAATGTATTGTCGAAGGCTTTCATGGACGGAATCACTGGGTTGTATGTTTTCCGGGCTATATGGCCATGTTCCAGAAGCAGTCTCTCCTGACATTTCACCTGCATCCAGGAGGATATTTTTTTTTGTTGTGTCAGGAGTGACTTGAGAAACTGCAAGTCGTTTCTGATGCGAGAGAATTGCCTGTCTGCAAGGACGTTGCCCAGGGGTCACCTGGATGTTTTACCACCATTGTGTGAGGCTTCTCTCATGTCCCCCCATGGAGAGCTGGAGCTGATATAGGGAGCTCATCCGCGCTCTCCCCAGATTCGAACTTCTGACCTGTCGGTCTTCAGTCCTGCTGGCACAAGGGTTTAACCCAGTGCGCCACCTATGAGGATGCCTGCCATAGATGCGGGCAAAACATCAGGAGAAAATGCTTCTGGAACATGGCCATACAGCCTGGAAAACTCACAACCCACAGCAGGATCTGGCTCTCTTTTATTGCCCCCCCTCCAACACACACACACACAATTGTACCCCTCGTCTTCTGGACCCCTGCTGTCCCTCAATGGGGAAACCTTGGGGGAGATGGCAGCAATGCCAGGAGGGATTGGATCCCTGAGGTGCCCCTCCCTCGGTTGTCCAGCAACTGAACTGGGATGGAAGTAGCAGCGTGTTTCCTCGGCCTCCTCCTCCTCCATCCCAAAGGTCTCGCTCTCTCTCTCTATGTTGAGGACTGCAAACAAGGCCTGGATTCTTCCCTTCCTTCCCTTCCAGAGGGCTCACAGGGACGCACTTGTGTTGCCGCCCTCGTTGCCGGAGGAAGAGGGTCAATGGAGAAGGGCTTCTGGGCACATGCAGAGCGACCCCAAGCCCAGCTTTTTCCTTTCCCGGCCCTGCCACCATCGCAGGTCATTCTGAAGGCCGCTATTCCAAAGGTCGCCCTGAGGAAGGCGCATGCTGCCCCCACCTCACTCCAGGGCATCCCTCTTCCCCTCCCTTTGGGCCCCCAAGGGGACAAAGGCATCTGTGTCACTTTTCTGGGGGCGACTCCTCCTCCAGGCAGGCGAGCAAGGGCAAAGCTAACAACACATGTCTAACTAGCTAGTGGTATCTCTCTTCCCCCCTTCCCACATCTATAATCTATCATAGGCCTGGGCAAACTTGGGCCCTCCCTCCAGGTGTTTTGGACTTCAACTCCCACCATTCCTAAGAGCCTCAGGCCCTTTACTTTTCCCCCTCAGCCACTTAAGCAAAAGGAAAGGGCCTGAGGCTCTTAGGAATGGTGGGAGTTGAAGTCCAAAACACCTGGAGGTCCTAAGTTGGCCCAAGTCTGATCTAGCTATCATCTATCTATACTCTTGTCTATTTATCTATCTATTATCTCTCATTCTAGTATCCGGCTGGATTTCAACACCCATCATCCTGTCTCACAGGCCTAGGCAAATCTGGGCCCTCCCTCCAGGTGTTTTGGAATTTAACTCCCACAATTCCTAACAGTAGGACGTCAGGCCCTTTAGTCCTATCCCTCAGCCACTTAAGCAAAAGGAAAGGGCCTGAGGCTCTTAGGAATGGTGGGAGTTGAAGTCCAAAACACCTGGAGGTCCTAAGTTGGCCCAAGTCTGATCTAGCTATCATCTATCTATACTCTTGTCTATTTATCTATCTATTATCTCTCATTCTAGTATCCTCTATCTGAGTATCTATCTATTACACCATGTAGCACGATTTTTGTTCCTGGGTAATAAATGTCATTTCCCTAATTAGTTCTGTTTCAAAAACATGGAAAAAGTTTATTAAACTGCTAAGACTTTTGTTGTTTTTTTCCGGGGCCTAAGTTGGCCCATGCCTGGTCTGTCTGTCTGTCTGTCTATCTATCATCCATCCATCCATCCATCCATCCATCTATCTATCTATCATCTCTCATTCTAGTATCTATCCTCTTTCTGAGTATCCATCTATCTATTACACTATGCAGAACGATTTTTGTTCCTGGGTTATAAATATCATTTCCCTAGTTCTGTCATAAAAACATGGGGAAAAGTTTCAATAATGGAAACCTCCATAAGACTCCCAAAGTGTATTAAACTGCAAAAACTTTGTTTCTGCAGAACATCCTGCAGCTCATTTCACTCTAGTTTTTCAATAAATCTCTCAACCAATTCAGCGTGGTTTGTGGCAGCCACCAAAACAAAGTTTCTGGAGTAGAACAACTACTTGCAAAGTCAGGACGGCACAACGAACCAGGAAATAACACTTTCAAACCAGGAACAGACAATATTTCAAATTTTGTTACATACTGTTATGTCTCTATCTCTATCTATCTTTCATCTATCTCTATCTATCTACCTATCTACCTTCTCTCATTCTTCTCTACCTACCTCTATTCACCTATCACAGGTATGGGCAAAAGGGGAAAAGGAAGGGGCCTGAGGCTGTTAGGAATGGTGGGAGTTGAAGTCCAAAACACCCAAAGGGCCAAAGTTTGCCCATGCCTGGCCAAAGATCTAAGGCAATTGCTTATCTCCCCGCATTCTTGGATTTCAAATAGGATCTTACCACCTAGCATTACAATTTGGCATCTGAGACCGGCCTCAGGGGCTCTTCTTGGCCTCTGTGCCCTTTGACCTCCAGGAACCGAAGGGCAGGAATCGGAAACCCATCCAAGCCTCCACCCCTCCTGTTGTTGTCGTTGCTTGTTGTCACCTCCAGTTGAAACATTACACTGCTATGCATGTATGACTTGTGACTGACTCCAGCTTTCTGCCTCAGTTCCGTTCAAGATCCTTGTTGCTGCTGTGAGCCTCCCAGCCGTTTCTGAGCTTCAGAGACATGGATTTCCTTACCTTCCTCTGAGGCTGAGAGGGTGTGACCTGTCCCCAGGGCATCCCGAGGGTCTTCCTTGGGAAAGTCACACTCTCTCGGCCTCGGAAGGAGGCAGGCGCACACACAGCCCATCAAGAGAAGCCAGGGTGGGCGGGGGTCTGGGTCAGGGATGCTTTAAAGGTGAAAAGCAGCAGCAACAACAACGAAGACAGGAATAAGGAAACGTCCCACATGAGAGAGTAGTAGTTGGGGTGAAAAAAGAAGGCATTTGTTGAATTCACAGTGCAGCAAGAAGGTCAGGATGTGCTGCGGTTGGAGAAACCAATCCATCTCACTTCTAAAACTAAAGCATTCAAGAGTGAGGGGAGCGTTACATTTTGGAGAAGAGCCTCCTTCCTTCCCTTTCTCCTTTCTTCCTTCTAATTTCTTCTCCCTTCTTTCCTCCTTTTCCTCCTTCTCTCATTCCCTTCCTTTCCTCCTTTCTTCTTCTTCTTCTTTCCTTCCTCTTTCCTTTTCTTCTTCCTTCCTCCCTCTTCCTTCCTTCCTTCCTTCCTTCTCTTCTTTCCTTCCTTTTCTTCTTCCTTCTTTCTTCCCTCTTCCTTCCTTTTCTTTCCTTCCCTCATTCTTTCCTTCTTCTCTCTTCCTCTTCCTTCCTTCCTTCCCTCCTTTTCTTTTTATCTTCTTCCTTCTTTCTCTCCTTTCTTCCTTCTTTCCTTCTTCTTTCCTTCTCTTTTCCTCTCTTCCTCCTTCCTCCTTTTTCCTTCCTTCTTCATTTCCTCCTCCTTCCCTCCTTTTTCCTTTCCTTCCTTCTCTTCTTCCTTCTTCTTTCCACCCTTCTCTCTCCAACCCCGTCTTCTTCCTTCCTTCTCTCATCCTTCTCCTTTTCTTCCTTTCTCTTCCTTTTCTTCCTTTCTTCCCTCCTTCCTTCTTTCTTTCTTTCTTCCTTTCTCCTTCTTCTTCCTTCCTCTTCCTTTCCCTCCTTCTCTTCCTTCCTTCTCTTCCTTTTCCTTTCTTCCTTCCCTCCCTTCTTTCTTCCTTTTCTTCCCTCTTCTTCCTCCTCTTCCTTTCCTTTTCCTTCCTCCTTCCCTCTTTTCCTACCTCTGTCCCATCCTTTCGAGGGAAGGCTTGGTACTTTGGGAGAGGAGGAGGAACAGAAGGAAAGTGCAGCCCATAGAGAAAGAAAGAGATCCCTCAACGCCAGGAAGGAGGGAGGAATGGAAGGGCCCCGCAAGCTGTGCTGGGAAGGAAGGAATGAAGGAAGGGTGGAATGAAGGGAGGAAGGAAAGAAGGAATGAAGAAAGGAAGGAATGAAGAAAAGAATGAAGAAAGGAAGGAAGGAATGAAAGAAGGAAGAAAGGAACGAAGAAAGGAAGGAACGAAAGAAGAAGGAAGGAAGGAACGAAGGAAAGAATGAAGAAAGGAAGGAAGAAGAAAGGAAGAAGGAAGGAAAGAATGAAGAAAAGAAGGAACAAAAGAAGGAAGAAAGGAAAGAATGAAGAAAGGAACGAAAGAAGGAAGGAAGGAAGGAGGAAGGAAGGAATGAAGGAGTGAAGGAAGAGGAGGAAAGGAAGGAAGAAGGAATGAAAAAAGAAGGAAGGAAAGAACGAAGAGAGAAGGAAAGAAGAAGAAAGGAAGGAAGAAAGGAAGGAAAGAAGGAAGGAAGAAAGAAGGAAGGAAAAGAAGAAGGAAAGGAAGAAAGAAGAAAGAAAGGAATGAAGAAAGGAAAGAAGGAAAGAATGAAGAAAGGAACGAAAGAAGGAAGGAAGGAAGGAAGGAGTGAAGGAAGGAATGAAGGAGCGAAGGAAAGAATGAAGAAAAGAAGGAACGAAAGAAGGATGGAAGGAAGTAAGGAAGGAAGCAAGGCTGGAAGATTGCGGGGGCTCTTTTGGAGGGTGGGGGGGGGCGAAGAAAAGACGCCAGGCGAGTGAGTGAGCAAGGAAGCGAGCCATCTCCGTCTGGATAATAAATGTTTCTTTTTATGCGAGTAATAAAATAGTGGCTGTCACATAAATAGAGGGCGGGGGGAGAGGGGGAGGCGTGGGTCCATCCGGGGGGGGGGTCTTTGGCTGGAGGCGGGAAGGTCCGGGCCCCGGAGGGAGGGAGGGGGGGAAGGAGAGAGAGGCTCTGTCTCGGGTCCTTTCCCGAATAAATAGTATGCTCGAGGGTGGGGTCTCTCACTGCCCGGGGGTCCCTTGGAGCGCGTGGAGGGCGGGGCGGAGGGCGTGCGGGGGCGGCGAGGGGGTCCCGGGCCCCGCGCTTGGCTGCTGCTGCTGCTGCTGCGAGGGGTTGAGGCCATAGTCGTCCATGGGGAGCGGGGCGGGCGGCGCCGGGGTCATGCGCTTCTCCTTCTGCCTCCGGTTGCAGAACCAGACGCGGACGACCTCCTTCTCGAGCTGGAGGGCTTCGGCGAGGGCGCCGATCTCGTGGGCGGAGGGCTTGGGGCAGCGGAGGAAGTGTCCCTCCAGCGCGCCCTTGACGCCGACCTCGATGGAGGTGCGCTTCTTGCGCTTCCGTCCCTGCGCGCCCGCCCCGCCGAGCCTCTCTCCGCCGCCTCCCGAGGGGCTCCCGCTCCCGGCGGCGTCGCTCTCCTCCAGCCACTTGCCCAGCAGCGGCTTCAGCTTGCACATGTTCTTGAAGCTGAGCTGGAGGGCCTCGAAGCGGCAGATGGTGGTCTGCGAGAAGACGTTGCCGTAGAGCGTGCCCAGGGCCAGGCCCACGTCGGCCTGCGTGAAGCCCAGCTTGATGCGCCGCTGCTTGAACTGCTTGGCGAAGGCTTCCAAGTCGTCGGAGCTGGGCGCGGACTCTTCCTCCTCCTCCAAGGCCGGCGCTTGCTGCAGGGGGTGGTGGTGCTGCGGCGGAGGCGGCTGGGGATGATGGTGGTGGTTGTGCTGGTGGTGCTGATGGTGCTGGGGGTGGTGCGGGTGGTGGTGGTGCGGCTGGAGACTCTCCAAAAGCTCGGCTTCGTGTCCGTGCGGAGGGAGCTGCAGCATGCCATTCAGCGCGCCCGGGAAGGCTGCGGCTTGCGAGTAGAGCAACCCCGAGTGTTGGTGTTGTTGTTGTGGGTGCTGCTGAGGCGAAGGGCAACCTCCCAAAGAGGGGTGATGGTGGTGGGGGTGATGGTGGTGGTGGTGCCCCACCGAAGCCCCCGATCCAGGGCTGCTGCTCTGCCCCCAGGCGCCGCCCCCGAGCCCCCGCGAAGGGAAGCCCCCCAACTCCGCGCGGGGAGGGGGCACCCCTTTGGCGGCCTCCAGCAAGGCACCCCCTCCTCCTCCTCCTCCTGCGCCTGCGCCGTGGCCCCAATCCGCCGCTCCGGGCGCCGGGCCCCACTGATTCGGCGGCAAGGCTCCCAACGGGGGTCCCGGAGCGGCGGCCAGGCCTTGGAGGAACTCGTGGTGCATCATCTTCTGCACCTCGCGGAAGGCCGCTGCGCCCGGGGGGAGTCGCTCCGAAGGCGGATCCGGACCCAGCAGCATGGGGCTCCCGCGCGGGAGGAAAGACGCCGCCGTCGTCGAAGCCATCGCCCGGGAAAGAAGCGAGAAACTGACTCCGAGCAAACTCGTCCCGCTCCTGCTCCTTTCGCGCTCTGCGTGTCTCTGGGGCCCTGGCTGGGCGCGCTTTAGAGAGAGACGGGGAGGGAGAGAGACGCCTCGCCTCGCCCCCCACCACACCCCCCGCGCGGCCACTCCCACTGGAGGAGGAGGAGGAGGCGGGGGAGGGAGGGAGGAAGGAAGAGGGAGGCCCCGTCGGTCACGCGCGGCGCGGCGGAGACGGAGCCCCGGACCGGGCGGGCAGCCGCGCTCTTCGCCTGCTCGAGGGGAGCCCCGTCGTCGCGGAGCAGGGACACCCAGGGAAGAAGGAGCGGCGCCGAAGGTCTCTCTCGGACCCCTCCTCTCCTCAGGTGAGCTTCCCTTCGCCTCCCACGAGACCCGCTCCACGGGACCATGAAGGGAAGGGAAGATGGGACGGGAAAGGAACATGGGAAGTGAAAGGAAGAGGGGAAGGGAAGAGATGATGAAGGGAAAGGAAGATGAGATGGGAAGGGAAGAGAAGAGAAGGAAAGAGAAGAGAAAAGAAGAGAAGATGGGAAGGCAAAGGAAAGAAGAAGGAAAGAGAAGGGAAGATGGGAAGGGAAAGGAAGATGGGATGGGAAGGGAAGAGAAGGAAAGAGAAGATGGGAAGGGAAGGGAAAGGAAGAGAAGATGGGATGGGAAGGGAAGAGAAGGGAAGAGAAGATGGGAAGGGAAGGGAAAGGGAGAGAAGATGGGATGGGAAGGGAAGAGAAGGGAAGAGAAGATGGGAAGGGAAGGGAAAGGGAGAGAAGATGGGATGGGAAGAGAAGAGAAGAGGGGAAGGGAAGGGAAAGGGAGAGAAGATGGGATGGGAAGGGAAGAGAAGGAAGAGAAGATGGGAAGGGAAAGGGAAAGGGAGAGAAGATGGGATGGGAAGGGAAGAGGAAGAGAAGATGGGAAGGGAAAGGGAGAAGATGGGATGGGAAGGGAAGAGAAGAGAAGATGGGAAGGGAAGGGAAAGGGAGAGAAGATGGGATGGGAAGGGAAGAGAAGGGAAGAGAAGATGGGAAGGGAAGGGAAAGGGAGAGAAGATGGGATGGGAAGGGAAGAGAAGATGGGAAGGGAAGGGAAAGGGAGAGAAGATAGGATGGGAAGGGAAAGGGAGAGAAGATGGGATGGGAAGGGAAGAGAAGAGAAGATGGGAAGGGAAGGGAAAGGGAGAGAAGATGGGATGGGAAGGGAAGAGAAGAGAAGGGAAGAGAAGATGGGAAGGGAAGGGAAAGGGAGAGAAGATGGGATGGGAAGGGAAGAGAAGATGGGAAGGGAAGGGAAAGGGAGAGAAGATGGGATGGGAAGGGAAGGGAAGAAGGAAAGAGAAGATGGGAAGGGAAGGGAAAGGGAGAGAAGATGGGATGGGAAGGGAAGGGAAGAGAAAGGGAAGAGAAGGGAAGGGAAGATGGGAAGGGAAAGGAAGATGGGATGGGAAGGGAAGAGAAGGGAAGAGAAGATGGGAAGGGAAGGGAAAGGGAGAGAAGATGGGATGGGAAAGGAAGAGAAGGGAAGAGAAGATGGGAAGGGAAGGGAAAGGGAGAGAAGATGGGATGGGAAGGGAAGAGAAGGGAAGAGAAGATGGGAAGGGAAGGGAAAGGGAGAGAAGATGGGATGGGAAGGGAAGAGAAGGAAAGAGAAGATGGGAAGGGAAGGGAAAGGGAGAGAAGATGGGATGGGATGGGAAGGGAAGGGAAGAGAACATGGGAAGGGAAGGGAAAGGGAGAGAAGATGGGATGGGAAAGGAAGAGAAGGAAAGAGAAGATGGGAAGGGAAAGGAAGAGAAGATGAGATGGGAAGGGAAGAGAAGGAAAGAGAAGATGGGAAGGGAAGGGAAAGGGAGAGAAGATGGGATGGGAAGGGAAGAGAAGGGAAGAGAAGATGGGAAGGCAAAGGAAAGAAGAAGGGAAGAGAAGGGAAGGGAAGATGGGAAGGGAAAGGAAGATGGGATGGGAAGGGAAGAGAAGGGAAGAGAAGATGGGAAGGGAAGGGAAAGGGAGAGAAGATGGGATGGGATGGGAAGAGAAGGAAAGAGAAGATGGGAAGGGAAGGGAAAGGGAGAGAAGTTGGGATGGGATGGGAAGGGAAGGGAAGAGAACATGGGAAGTGAAGGGAAAGGGAGAGAAGATGGGATGGGAAAGGAAGAGAAGGAAAGGGAAGGGAAAGGAAGAGAAGATGGGATGGGATGGGAAGGGAAGAGAAGGAAAGAGAAGATGGGAAGGGAAGGGAAAGGGAGAGAAGATGGGATGGGAAGGGAAGAGAAGGGAAGAGAAGATGGGAAGGGAAGAGAAGATGGGATGGGAAGGGAAGAGAAGGGAAGAGAAGATGGGAAGGGAACGGGAGAGAAGATAGGATGGGAAGGGAAAGGGAGAGAAGATGGGATGGGATGGGATGGGAAGGGAAGGGAAGAGAACATGGGAAGGGAAGGGAAAGGGAGAGAAGATGGGATGGGAAAGGAAGAGAAGGAAAGAGAAGATGGGAAGGGAAAGGGAGAGAAGATGGGATGGGAAGGGAAGAGAAGGGAAGAGAAGATGGGAAGGCAAAGGAAAGAAGGGAAGAGAAGGGAAGGGAAGATGGGAAGGGAAAGGAAGATGGGATGGGAAGGGAAGAGAAGGGAAGAGAAGATGGGAAGGGAAGGGAAAGGGAGAGAAGATGGGATGGGATGGGAAGAGAAGGAAAGAGAAGATGGGAAGGGAAGGGAAAGGGAGAGAAGTTGGGATGGGATGGGAAGGGAAGGGAAGAGAACATGGGAAGTGAAGGGAAAGGGAGAGAAGATGGGATGGGAAAGGAAGAGAAGGAAAGGGAAGGGAAAGGAAGAGAAGATGGGATGGGATGGGAAGGGAAGAGAAGGAAAGAGAAGATGGGAAGGGAAGGGAAAGGGAGAGAAGATGGGATGGGAAGGGAAGAGAAGGGAAGAGAAGATGGGAAGGGAAGAGAAGATGGGATGGGAAGGGAAGAGAAGGGAAGAGAAGATGGGAAGGGAACGGGAGAGAAGATAGGATGGGAAGGGAAAGGGAGAGAAGATGGGATGGGATGGGATGGGAAGGGAAGGGAAGAGAACATGGGAAGGGAAGGGAAAGGGAGAGAAGATGGGATGGGAAAGGAAGAGAAGGAAAGAGAAGATGGGAAAGAGGAAGAGAAGAGAAAGGAAGGGAGAGGGGAAGGAAGAAGGGAAAGGGAGAGAAGATAGGAGGAGGGAAAGGGAGAGATGTGATGGGATGGGATGGGAAGGGAAGGGAAGAGAACATGGGAAGGGAAGGGAAAGGGAGAGAAGATGGGATGGGAAAGGAAGAGAAGGAAAGAGAAGATGGGAAGGGAAGGGAAGAGAAGGGAAGAGAAGATGGGAAGGGAAGGGAAGGGAGAGAAGATGGGAAGGGAAGAGAAGGGAAGAGAAGATGGGAAGGGAAGGGAAAGGGAGAGAAGATGGGATGGGAAGGGAAGAGAAGGGAAGAGAAGATGGGAAGGGAAGGGAAAGGGAGAGAAGATGGGATGGGAAGGGAAGAGAAGGGAAGAGAAGATGGGAAGAGAAGAGAAAGGGAGAGAAGATGGGAAGGGAAGAGAAGATGGGAAGGGAAGGGAAAGGGAGAGAAGATGGGATGGGAAGGGAAGGGAAGGAAAGAGAAGATGGGAAGGGAAGGGAAAGGGAGAGAAGATGGGAAGGGAAGAGAAGGAAAGAGAAGATGGGAAGGGAAGGGAAAGGGAGAGAAGATGGGATGGGAAGGGAAGAGAAGGGAAGAGAAGATGGGAAGGGAAGGGAAAGGGAGAGAAGATGGGATGGGAAGGGAAGAGAAGGAAAGAGAAGATGGGAAGGGAAGAGAAGATGGGATGGGAAGGGAAGGGAAAGATGGGAAGGGAAGGGAAAGGAAAGGAAGAGAAGATGGGATGGGAAGGGAAGAGAAGATGAGAAGGGAGAGAAGATGGGATGGGAAGGGAAGAGAAGGAAAGAGAAGATGGGAAGGGAAGGGAAAGGGAGAGAAGATGGGATGGGAAGGGAAGAGAAGGAAAGAGAAGATGGGAAGGGAAGGGAAAGGAAGAGAAGATGGGATGGGAAGGGAAGAGAAGGGAAGAGAAGATGGGAAGGGAAGGGAAAGGGAGAGAAGATGGGATGGGAAGGGAAGAGAAGGAAAGAGAAGATGGGAAGGGAAGAGAAGATGGGATGGGAAGGGAAGGGAAGAGAAGATGGGAAGGGAAGGGAAAGGAAGAGAGGATGGGATGGGATGGGATGGGAAGGGAAGAGAAGGAATGAGAAGATGGGAAGGGAAGGGAAAGGAAGAGAAGATGGGATGGGAAGGGAAGGGAAGAGAAGGAAAGAGAAGAAGGGAAGGGAAAGGAAGAGAATATGGGATGGGAAGGGAAAAGAAGGGAAGAGAAGATGGGAAGGGAAGGGAAAGGAAGAGAGGATGGGAAGGGAAGGGAAAGGGAGAGAAGATGGGAAGGAGAGGGAAGAGAAGGAAAGAGAAGATGGGAAGGGAAGAGAAGATGGGATGGGAAAGGAAGGGAAGAGAAGATGGGAAGGGAAGGGAAGGGAAAGGAAGAGAGGATGGGATGGGAAGGGAAGAGAAGGAATGAGAAGATGGGAAGGGAAGGGAAAGGAAGAGAAGAAGGGATGGGATGGGAAGGGAAGGGAAGAGAAGATGGGAAGGGAAGGGAAGAGAAGGAAAGAGAAGATGGGAAGGGAAGGGAAAGGAAGAGAAGATGGGATGGGAAGGGAAGAGAAGGGAAGAGAAGATGGGAAGGGAAGGGAAAGGGAGAGAAGATGGGATGGGAAGGGAAGGAAGAGAAGGAAAGAGAAGATGGAAGGAAGGGAAAGAAGAGAAGATGGGGGGATGGAAGGAAAGAAGAGAAGGGAAGAGAAGATGGGAAGGAAAGGAAGAGGATGGGAGATGGGAAGGGAAGAGAAGGAAAGAGAAGATGGGAAGGGAAGGGAAAGCAAGAGAAGATGGGATGGGAAGGGAAGGGAAGAGAAGGGAAGAGAAGATGGGAAGGGAAGGGAAAGGGAGAGAACATGGGATGGGAAGGGAAGAGAAGATGGGAAGGGAAGGGAAAGGGAGAGAAGATGGGATGGGAAGGGAAGAGAAGGAAAGAGAAGATGG